TGCTTATGCTGCTGAACTAAATACCCAGCCCCTGTACCCGGGATTTTTGTTTTTGTTTTTTGGTAGGTAATTTAAACATTCTTTGTATTTTCTCAACCTGTTCCTTTAACTTAGGGTCAGGTTTATGCTTTTTATTTTTTAATTAAACCAGATTGTGGACTTCAGCATTTCTGGGGGGCCGGCTATGGTGGCATACTCCTGTGATCCCAGCACTCAGAGGATGAGATGGGATTACTGCACGTTTGAGGCCAGCTTAAAATTCACAGTGAGGGGCCCAAGGATTTAGCTCAGCAGCACAAGTGCTTGCCTGGCAAGCATAAGGTCATGAGTTTGATCCCTGGTATCAAAAAAAAAAAAAAAAACAGTGAGTTCGAGGCCAGCCTGAACTACATAGCGAGACCTTGTTTCATAGATCTTTTTTTCTTCCAAGGAATCTTGGGTATAATTGAGTCAGAAGAGAAGTCTAAATTTAACCAAAGAAATGCTGATGCAGATTGTCTGGGTAACTTCGACAGGGTCCTGAAAATGACAGTATTCTTTTTTTTTTTTTTTTTATGACAGTATTCTTTAAAGTATAATTTTTAGTTATGATTTCCATACCTTTTTTTTAACTTATTTTTTCTTTCTTCAAACCTACTTCATAGGCACCCCGTCACACTCACGAGGTTCATACACACAGTGGTCATGGTGGCGGGGATGCAGGGTATGGAGTCACCTTTCACCAAGGCTAACCTTTATGCACTGCTGACTTCTCCTACGGGACCCTCAAGTGACCAAGTGACCAGTCAGTGAATTGATGGCAGATTAATGACACTAGACTGCTTTCATCAAGCAAGGGGCAACATCTTGTCCTTGCTAGAATAGACTTTGTTTTGATCTAAGATCTTGCTATGTAGCTCGGGCTAGATTTGAACTTGCTGTGTAGTGCAGGCTGGCCTTGAACTTGTGGTGATCTCCTGTCTCAGCTTTCTGAGTTCTGGGACTACAACCATGCATCACCATGCCCAACTTCAAATAGACATTTATTCTGGATATAGAGTTTCCTTCTCTGTACACAAAGCTTCTGCCAGACTGACCATCCACGGATTTACAGAATGTCTTATGCACAGTTACAGTATTCTACTCAGTACAGCTTCTGACCAAAGGATTGTTCACAGTGAAAATGTGGCGGTGGGCCTGTGCTCGTGAAATTCATTGATCTTACTGTGTTCCCCGCTATCCTGAAGCATCTTTTGATAGAAGAGTGAAATGCCTTTTGAAGACACAGTTATATTGCCAGATAAGTGGAAAAACCTTGCAGGCCAGAATTCTCCAGGAAGACAACAATGCTCCGAATCAACATCTAATGTATGATTCTGTTTATCCTCTTGCCAGGGCTCATGTGTCTACTGTAAAATAGAAGTACCAGCACACTATAGCAAGTGACTCTCTAGCCAAAAATCTTGCTTCTTTTTCTCCCAAGCTTGTGCTTTGTCAGCCTAGGGAGTCTTGTTCTAGAGGGAGGAGTGATTCCACTAGGAGGTACAACAATTGCCATTGAACTAGAAATTTAGACTTCTGCCTGGACATTTGGGATTTCTTCTGAGCCAACAGACAGATAAGGGAGTCCCTGTGTGGGCCAGTGTCACTAATGGGTCAGGCCTTTGCACTCAGACTCAAACTGTACCATTGGCTCTCCTGGGTCTCCAGCTGGCTGATTGCAGGACTTGGGACTTCTCAAGCCTCTATAATTGCCTGAGCCAATTCCTTATGATAAATATCGTCAGCTTCTCTGGAAAACCCACACTTTATATATAAACAGTATAGGAGTATATATATATGTATATATATATATATATATATATATATATATATATATATATATAAAACAGTATAACAGTATATATAAAAAATCTCATTGGCCGGGGATTTGGCTCAGTGGTATAAATGCCTGCCCAGCAAGTGCAAGGTCATGAGTTCGATCCCCAATACAAAACAAACAAATAAAAAAACCTCCTTGACTATTTTCAATGACCAGATTTTATTTCAAATGATGAATGTGTGATAATTCCATCGTTCTTACTGATACACAGTTTCCTAGTTCCTCCAATGTGGCAATAAATACATGTATGTGTACATGTACTACTCGATGAAAAGATCTTAAGAAATGACAAATATGTGTTTGTTCTGTGTGTTTTGTTTTACAACGTGTGCCTTAATGACTTTCTCAAAAGAAAGCTCATGGATATATTCTTGACAATATCATGCATCTGCGGTTCCATAATGCATATTTTAAAACAATAGTTTGTAAGATAGCCAGTCAATTCATGTGACATAACTTATCTTTTTAGGTGGGTCTGTTATACTGTACAAGCAGAGAGAGTTGTACTTTCTACAACAAGGACATTGGCTTATTCTTTACAGGAAGTCAAATGAGTTTCCCTGGGCTTCTTCTCATAGCAAATGTCCATTAGAATTATGATTTTGGAATCATTTCCATTGCAAATCCTCTCTTTCCACACCTCTTTAAGAGGCAGCTGTGATAATTTGGCTTCTAACCAAGGCCTGCTATACCAACAATTCTCTAAATTTTACTTATATTTCATGTGCAGTACATTCAAACTCTGACTTTCCCAGGTGGCAGATGCTGGTTTGGACACACTCCAGTAGAAAGTGCTTTCCTATAAAATAATAAAAGTAAAATGCTGGACAAACCACCTCTTTATATTAGACTCTCAGCTAGGATACCAAAGCTAAGTACTTTAATGACTTCACTATTTCCTCAAGTTTACTGTTCTCCAAATTCCTTCTTCACCTACCTCCACGCCAAATACTTTGTCCTTTGTTGGGTGTAGTGGTGTATGCCTACCATTGGGAAGCTGAGGCAGGAGGATCCTGAGGTCAGCCTGGGACACATTGCAAGTTCAAGGCCAGCATGAACTACGTAGCAAGACCATGTCTCAAAAACAAGTCTGAAGTAATTTGTTCTTTGGCTTCTGTAAGATATAAATGCTGGCAGTCCTTTTGCATTTCTTTAATGTTCATTTGAAAGGGTCAGAGTGTAGGTATTTATCCATCTAACATGCTTTCCGTCATATCTAACCCACACTCACCCAGAGGTGTTTCAAATGTGACCTGGATGAGAAGATAATGCATTTAAACCCATTTAGATGATTCTAAAAGCTACTGAAACCTTGATAGCTTTAAAATTTTCTCACTAAAATGACACTTCCGTGGGTTTTATAATATTGTCTCTGTGGTGGTCAGCATTTTAAACATGATACTCCTAACAATTAACATGAAATTCTCCATAGGATTCTTTCCTGGCTAAAGACAGCCCACACACTGTCCAATGATCCTATGTATGAAGTGATATTAGGCAGTTACTAAGAAAGACGTATATATTTGTAGAGTTCGCAGTCCACTTTTGACCTTCACCTCCCTCTTTCAGCTGCTCATGTGACAACATTTCACTGGGCTGAAAACCTACAGGATTTTTTTTTTCTTTCTTTCCTTTTTACTGGTATCGGGGATCGAACTCATGACTGCCTGCTTGCAAGGCAGGCACTTATGCCACTGAGCTAAGTCCCCAACCCCTAAACCTACAGGATTTCTTGCTCTGCTCTACACAAATTGAAAACCATAAGGCATGGACATTTATATTTGGGCCAAAATCTTTGAAGTTTGAAATTATGTTCTGAGGCTTAACTGAACTCTCGTGTGTGTGTGTGTGTGTGTGTGTGTGTGTGTGTGTGTGTTCGCATGCGCACATGCATTCTCGCATGCATTCTGGGTAAATAATAACAGTTTGCCTATTTGGTCCTGCTACTAATCTCTTCACGCCTGTAGACCTTTTTCTTTTTTTTATTTATTCCATTAGATGGCAGTAGATGTCCAAGAATAACTTCAAAGCATGGAACTGAGTGGAAAGGGCTGTGTGTATGTGTGTGTGTGTGTGTGTGTGTGTGTGTGTGTGTGTGTGTGTGTGTGTGTTGTCCCTAGGTTATGGGTAGCTAAGCTGACAGACACGGAGGTCTTTTATTGACGGGAGGCAGTTGAGACAGGGTTTTGCTGTCCTTGAACTTACTATGCAGTCCAGGCTGGCCTCAAATCCAAAGTGATCTTCCTGCCTCAGCCTCCAGAGTCCCTCTTGAGAGCACTCACTATTGCCTATTGCCTCCGGCTCAACACAGAGGCCTTCTTTGGTGGGTGGGCATGGTATACATTTTTGTTGAGTGTGAGGGTAGAGGTGGTGAGGGCACAGGACGAGTTGCTACAGACCACGCCTGTTTAGCAGAGATTATCCCCATGCTTCTGGAGCATCTTTCCAGATGGAAAAAAGTCTTAGAAAATCTCTCAGCTTTCAATTTATTTGATACAGTCTATGGAGCCACGTCAAGAACGCAGTCAGCATTGCTTCACAGATGTAGCAAACATGGGCTGCATACGTTTGTGGTGATGGGAGACAGCCATCCGCTGATGAGGAATGGTTGCAGCCCTAGATTGATAATCTGATGACTGCATGATCGCACTAATCCTATGAACTTTAAAAGAGGTCAGAGGCCAGAGGTGGCTCTCTACCCATAATGCCCAAATCAATGGGGTCCCAAGAGGCCTAAAGGTGAAGTCTCATGTGAGGAGAGAGTGGAGAAGGAACAAGAAAGGGTACAAGGCTCAGGGAGATGGTGGGGGAGCTATGGAGAAGTCTAGGGAGAATTTAGGATTGGAGAGCAGAGAGGAAATGGGGCAGTCGTGTAGCTCAGCACGGTCTGCACCCTCGGAAAGCGCCAGCCCAGCAGACCTTACTGCGTACGCGGACCCGGGGGCATCTAGTCACTGCGGGGGTTTCGGATCAGGTTTCTCACTCGGGCACGCACGGTGAGCCTGAGCTAGGGCGCACACAGCGCGCCCTCTCCAGGGCGGACCCTGAAGGGGCCCGGGAGCCGCGGGGGAGGGGGGCAGGGGGTGTGGCGAGGGCGGGGGGCGTGGCGAGGGCGGGACGAGCGGGCGGGCTGGGCTCTGTTCTCGCCCGCTGGCTCGCAGCTCCTGCCGTCGCCTCCGCTGCTTCCTCCCGCCGCGCTGACCGAGGGGACCAGTTAGCAGCTGCCTGCCCGCCAGCCCGCCAGCCCGCCCGCGTGCCGGGGCTGCGGTGGGCCAGGATGTCGGGCTTCCTGGAGGAGCTGCTGGGAGAGAAGCTAGTGACGGGCAGCGGCGAAGAAGTGGACGTGCACTCGTTGGGCGCCCGCGGCATCTCGCTGCTTGGGCTCTACTTCGGCTGCAGCCTGAGCGCCCCCTGCGCGCAGCTCAGCGCCAGCCTGGCCGCCTTCTACAGCCGCCTGCGGGGGGACACGGCGGCCGGGGCCGGGCCGGGGCCGGGGGCCGGGGCAGCCGCGGAACCCGAGCCGCGGCGGCGCCTGGAAATCGTCTTCGTGTCCTCGGACCAGGACCAGAGGCAGTGGCAGGACTTCGTGCGGGACATGCCGTGGTTGGCGCTGCCCTACAAGGAGAAGCACAGGAAGGTGAGCGGCGCGGGCCTGTCTCGCCCCTGGCCTTGGGAGCTCCTCGTGGGAGCCGGGTCCTCGCTGCCCCAACCCTGCTGACCCTCGTCCGCCTTTTTCATCCTGGCATGCTCCCCCCACACCACGCCCTCACCCTCTTCCTAGGACCGCGTCGAATTGGGGCGCCGCGGTAACTCCTGGGTGTAGTGCCAGGCTGGGCCCGCGCTGGGAAGTTTGACGCCCCCTCCGCCTCCATCCGGATCTCGGCTTAGACTGAGGCCCCAAGATCCCCTGATCCCCACATGTTGGAAGCTTTGTGCTCTTAGGCCCCCACTCTGTGACCCCCGCGCCCCAGCTGGCAGAGGTGCGGAAAGAGGCTCCTTCCCCAATCAGTAGACTCCCAGTGGATACCTGTAATGAGTGGGAGAGGCTGCTAGCCCCCTACCCATAATGCCCAAACCAGGAAGTTTCCTTTCCGCGAGAAATTTGCTTTCCTGGGGCCCCCTCTTCTGTGAATAGGGACCTAGAGGCCGAGTCCGAGGTCAGGCCACCCTGTCCCAGCAGGGAGGCAGCTGCTGACTGTGACTTTGGGCGAGAAAGAGGCTCTTCTCTCCTTCTTTCTCTCACCCTCTGCCCAGTCCCCGGACTGAATTAGTGGCCTCCGGGGAGCTTTTCATTGTCTGGCTGTCCAGCTATCCTCCCAGGCCCAGGGACAGCCCAGTCCTTGTAGATCCCTTAGTTTCGTGGTGGGCCACCGTTGTCCTGAGTACTTCGAAATAAGTGCAGAACGGATCCTTTAGGTGTAGATTGACTGGAGAAAAGATTTGAGACAATTCATACTTCTCTGTCAACTTCATTTCTCCCAATTTGCTGTTGAAATGAGTGTGTGTGTGTGTGTGTGTGTGTGTGTGTGTGTGTGTGTGTCTGTGGGCTGAAGACGTTTGTTTCATCAAAACAAATTCAGGACATTCGGTAATGAATGGTAACAGAAAAAGTTTTGGAGCTCTTTACTCTTTTGCTTAATTAGTTTGTGTCTAATGCAACATGTGAATCCAACTGCTTTCTTTTTGGAGAAAAATCTCAGTTTATGGGTGGACAGGAAAAAGGCTACTCTGAGGGTGTTTATAGTTTTCTCTGGGGAGGATTGATAACACATGCCATGTGTGTCTTTTATGTATCCAGAATCTTTTTGAGAAGCAAGATTTAAATTTAGTGAGAGCAAAAAAACTTGTACTGTGACTGACCCCATATGTCTCGAGTACATCATCCCAAAGCAGTGTAAGGTACAGGCTTGAGATTGAAAGTATGAAATATAGTTTAACAAGTGCAGTTTGTAAATTTAGCGTTGAAAAAACACGGGTTCACCAATCACACAGAGGCAAGACTTTGCCTTTTAACCACTTCGTAGGTTACCTTGCCCATACTGTATTTGATTTATATGCTTGATAAACCACAAATTTACATGGTTAGTACTTTTTGCTTCAAAATATTGGAATCCTTTGTTTTCCTTGGTAGTTTTTATGATCTTTTTGGGGTGAAATGTTCACAAAGTGATTTATGAAAAATTATTTTCATCATTATTTATTTATTATTTATTTATTTTTGTGCCTGGGATCGAACTCACAACCTCACGCTTGTCAGGCAGGTGCTGTGCAGCTGGGCTACATCCCCAGCCCTACTGCCAGTTTTTGTTGTAGACAAAAATGTGTTCAAAATCTGTCCTTATTGAGCAATGCAAGTGATTTCTAGCTTTTGAAAATGTACAGTGAATTGTAAAATATGTGTTTCTTATAGGAGAAATAAAATTGCTGAAAAGTTAAAAGCATGGGGCAAACAGATTTTTTGGGAAATATTTAAGGATTTCTCTTAAAAAGGAGCAAATGTGATATGACATAGGCTATGCCTGATTCTTTTTTCTCTGACCAGACTCTGAATGAAAAAAAGTGTTCCGTGGTCCTTACCTGCGGCTGATTCCACCCAGATAAGCAGCTGGTTGACAGGGTAGGCTGTTCATGCCTACCCCAAAGTGTAACAGCATCTTAAAATTTTATTTTAATTAAAACAATTGTTATGGTGCTGGATGGAGCCCAGGGCCTTGTGCATGCTAAGCATGGGTTTACCACAGAGCTACAGCCCCAGACTCCTCAATTTTATTTTTTTGCTTAGACTCATATCCCATAGTTCAGACCACTTTTCAAGCAGGTGATTTCTGTTCACCTCTGTGTTGGTGAATAGGCAGCTCAAGATTTGATCCTGGAAACATTCTTATTCATGGCACTGTATACCAGGTAAAAAGACTCCAGCTGGTTTTCTTATGGAAAACATACTGTTGAAAATGACAAAAGCTATGCACTCACTTCGAAAGGAATGATTTTTCCCCCTTGAAAACAAAAAGTTGTAAACTAAATTCCTCTTCTGTAACTGAGTTTTTGTCTCTCTCATTTAAATTCAGGGTTCTTAGAAGTCTGTGAGATTTTGGTGCTAATTTCGTCATAAGAGCCAGGGTACCCCAGGTTGAGGATAATGGATAACAAAAGGTGAACACTTTTGGTCGTTGGATTCTTTCCATGTTGTTTCACCCACAATAAAAATAGTTTTAAAGAAGAGAATTTTGTTTTACACTGAAGGGAAACCAAAGATTCAGACTATATATACATATATATATATATATATATTTTTTTTTTTTTTTTTTTAAGTTCTCATTAACATGTGTTCTTTTAAAACCATTTGTATACTTCTTCCCATTGGGATAACAAAGGATATGGTTCTAATTAGTTGTTGGCTGGCATTTCTCTAAAGAAAATTGAAAAATTATGGTGGGGAAAAGAAAATGCTGTGTGGTATTTCTTTTTTCTTCTTTTATTAATTTCTCCTTTATATAGTAAGAAAGTCTGAGGATGACCATATATGTTCTGCCTGCATTTTGCTGGCTCTGCTCACCTCCTTTGGAGAAGAGAAAAACACTGCATAAAGAAATTGTAGCATCTTTTGTTTTTTAAAAAATTCCTTAGGGAAGGTTGTCCTGTTTCTGCTTGTTTTAGGGGTAGATACAGAAGTCATTGAAACTTTTTTACTTTCAGAGTACACACACATTATGTAGCTATATAGACATTGTAATTAGATGATAATAGAACTTTGGGTGTGTTTATAAGAGCACTTTTGTCAAGAAGCCTATAATCCTGGAGTTAAAGCGGTTAGGCTTGTTTTAATAAGTAGGTTGGTGGATCTTTTTCAGATTTCTGAAGAGAGACCATGTGATGAATAGTTGGAGAGTGGTGAAGGTCGGACCTTTTGGGATTTGGTCTGTTCCTTTAGATGAATGTCAGTGACTGAGCTGTCGAGAGGAGCCATCTCCAAGCCCACTATTGGATCACAGAAGTGAGCCCTGGTTTTGGTTTTAAAGCCACAGGACCTGGCTGTGCCTGGGCTCGATGCCTGATGGAAAACATTTGGTCACTGCGGGTGTGCTGACATCAAAGGGTGCAGACCACTGGTTCCCTCTGGACAGGTTTATTGGGCTCTGGCTTGCTCCCAGAACTTTCTTTGTGACAGGAAGAGGAAGCTGGGGTGGAAAGAGTAGCAAGCTGGATCTGTGGTGCAGCATCTTGGTCTACCTGATGGCCAACAAAGTGAACCCTCCTACAAGGGGTCCTGTGTGGGCTATTTACCCTGACTGTTCTGACTAAATCAGAAGCATAGCCTAGAATCCACCTGAATCCCTTTGCTTCTTTGGATGAGACGAGATCTGGTGTTAATCCAGCCTCCAAACTCCATTGCTCTTATTTCTCAACTCCAAACACCCTGACTAGCAAAAGATCAATTTTATCTTCTTATTCACTTTCAAGGTGGTAAAAGATGGCAAAAACCAAAATTTAAAAATTAGGGATTTTCGCCTTCCTCTCATTAGACAGATGGACCAGCAAGTGCAGCTCCTGCTGGTGACTGTTCACAAGTTTGGGCGACCAGTTTACTAAAAGACAACAGTTGATCCCCGTGTGTGGGGGTGCACACCTGTGATCCCAGCACTCTGAGAGGCTCGGGCAGGAGGTTTGTGAGTTCAGGTCCAGCCTAGACAATTTAGCAACACAGTGAGACACTGTGGGCTAGGGCTAACAAATGGGCTAGGGGATGTTGCTCAGTTTGAAGGCCCCGCTGCATTTCGGTCCCCAGTACTGTGGACCAAAACAAAAAGCAGTCCGATTAACGTGTGAAAGCCGTGTTCTTTGAGAGACATTTTCTTTGTTTCATTACTTGTGATGTGTGTGTACAGGGAGGTGGGTGTTATTTTGGGGCATGAACTCAGGGCCTTTTTCTCTAGGCTATATCTCCAATCTTTTTTATTTGAAATGAGGTCTCACTAAGTTGGCCAGGCTGGGTTTGAACTTGTAATGCTCCTGCCTCAACCTCCCAAGTAGCTGGCATTACAGGTGTGTGCCATCACACCTGGCTTTATGGTGTGTTTTTAAATCTAATCTTTTCTGTGTAGTGAAGCATTTTAGTGACCACAGATGTAGGTTCTTGGGTCCTGCCTGAGTTCAGATGATGCTCTGCTGTTCTTTAGCAGTGGGTATTGTGCAAGGTTCTCATCTCTGTGCCGTAGGTCCCTTATCTGTAAAATGGAGATGATAATAGCACCTTATAGGATTGTTATAAAGACTGAGTGGCATACATATGCCTGGCATATGGGGAGTGCCCAATAAATGCTATTATTTTTGTCAATAAATGATCATACAATTTAGCAGTCCTTTTCACAGCTTGACCCTTTGGAATGAATTATATTACAGACCTGCAAAACTGTTATGAGGTGTATTTTTTTTTCACTTTTCAAACCAAGGGTTTTTACAAGGGGCTGTGAGGAAGGAGCTGAAAGGATTGCCCAGTAAGAGATTATAATTGAGGAGAAAGACTTCGAAGAATGAAACAACAAAAGCAAGCAAATGTAAAATAATACTGTTTCTTAAAATTCTGGGAGATTTGTGACAGTTACTGAGCTCCCTATTTATATTTGCCAGTGAAATTCA